GAATCAGGGTATCATATCACAAAAGTTAAATTGAAATACTCCGTGTATTTTCAATTGTTATGAAATTTAGTAGATTTTTTGCCATTGTGATTGCTTCGACTTTGAGACCTCGAGATTTATGCAGCTTTTGAAATTTCCATTACAGGGTATTTGAATTATTCACTTGTGATAGAAATACCCTTGCATATAAAGTCTAACATCTTTGTATTATGTCGGTTAGGGTTTCTGATAATATGAAAGGTTTTCGATCAAAAAGGATACGAGGATACAACAAATTAAACATGCTTCCAATTGTTATGTTATCAGTTACATCAGTGTTAACTTTTTTTGGCTTTAGGAATACGAAAAGAATATATAATTTTTAATACAAACAATCACATGAGATTTGTAGGATTTTTAGAAAAGTTCCCAACAAATAGATTAATACATATTTATTTATTTATTTATTTAATCCTTTTTTGCACACCACACTCTCAATACAGACAATTACAAAAAAAATACAAACTTAAAACTAACGGTATAACAAAAGGCGGCCTTATGGCTTATTAGCCATTTCTTCCAGGCAACCTGGGGTCAGAGGATTGTGTTTGGAGACAGTATAGGGTGGTACATTAGATATTCTTAGAATAAATATATAACCTAAACACATACAAAAATAAATGACAGTAATAAATATTCAATAATATACATACGTACATATATCAATAAATACATACATACATACATACATACATACATACTTACATTCATACATACAAATACATATAAATACATACATACATACAAACATATAAATACATAATACATACATTTGTCAAAATCATGTCGTCATCATTACTCTGATGAGAGATATAGGTTCTTTAAGGATTTTTTAAAAGCATATAGGGTTTTAGACTGTCGAATGCTCAATGGTAGGTCATTCCAGAGAGTTATTGCCTGAACAGTGAACGACTTTCTGTAATATTTACTGTTGTGAGCAGGCATTTTCAGAATGAGCCTACGTGCTGGTCGCATTCTGGACAGATCTCCTACAAATTCGAACTTCTCCTTCAGATATTGAGGAGCATTTGGATTAAATAACACACAGTACAGAAGAGAAAGAGTATGCAGGTTCCGGCGACGGCGTATAGGGAGCCACTTGAGCTTTGAACGAAACTCTGAAACGTGGTCATACTTTCGGAGACCGAAAATAAACCGAATAGCTAGATTTTGTAATCGCTCAAGATAATTAAGCTGGTCCTCGGTAAGATTAAGATAGCTTGCGTCCGCGTAATCGAGAATTGAAAGAAGGAGAGAGTTTGCAAGCATAGTTTTAGTAGGAATTGGCAGTAAGTTTTGTAGTCGTCGTAACGAACTTAACGAGGCGTATGTTTTTTTTCCAATATGCTTTAAATGCTCCGACCAGGAGAGAGTACTATCAAGCTGTATACCAAGGTCTCTAACATTGGAGCAGTAGGACAAGTTAGTACCATTGTACACAACCCGTGGCATCTCCGCCCAATCAACCCTTGCCATCATGGCTGAACTGCCAACAACAATGACCTGTGACTTTGCGGGATTGATGTTAAGCCCATACTGTTGACTCCATTTATGAATAGCCGACAAATCATTGTTGATGGCAGCGACAGCGTCAGATAATCTATCAAGGGTTGAGTGTCGGTAAATTTGGACATCGTCTGCATACATATGGTAGAGAGAAGAGATGACATGAGCAAATGAATTAATGAAAATTGAGAAAAGTAACGGAGACAACACGCCACCTTGAGGTACCCCAGCGCGGACTTCGCGCCATGACGAGTATGTTTCGTCCACACGAACTCGCTGTCTTCTGCCACTGAGGTAACTTTGAAGCCAGTCTTTTACGGATGGAGATATGTTAAAAGAACATAACATACTCAACAAGATGTCATGGTCTACGCAGTTAAATGCGTTACTAAAATCAAGAAGCACTAAGATTGTGAGTTGTTTGGAATCCATGGCCAATCGAATGTCGTCTGTGACTTTAACTAAAGCTGTAGCCGTACTATGACCTGCACGGAAGCCTGATTGGAGAGGATTAAGATATTTATAGTAAATAACTTTAATTTTATTCAAATCCTTTAAATAACTTTAATTTAAAATCCTTGGAAATCTTTGGATTCGGATATAATTTGAATCGAGGTAATCGAAAGCATATATCGCTATGGATTCTTTAAAGCAACTAAGTGAAACTTAATAAAAATTAAAGGAAAGTCTTAAAAAGATGTGAACATTTATTGAATTATTTTTCTTTTATAAATTATTCTTTCAGTTATATTTTACATACGTAATGTACACAAAAAATACGATTTTACACATATGAGGATTATTATCCATACGACTTAAATATCATTTTACTATACAAACACAAGACAACAAACAATCAATTGAATAATTTGTCATGAAAATAATATGTAACAAACTATAAGTAATTTTATATTACAAGCAAGCTAATGCAAGTTCTAGTTTTAGATTTTCTAATAATTTCTTAATATCTAATCTCCTTTTGAAATTGCCATCTACTGACGGAGTAACTTAACACTAATATATGTATAATGAGTGTTTGAGAAATCGTAGCACACACATAAAATACAGATTAATACAAATTGAGAACGTCCTCCTTTTTCGAAGTCGGTTAAAAATATGGCTGATTATGATTTATATCTACTATTACAAAATTTTATTTGAACAACAATAAAATAAATTATGATACTAAAACTTTAGGCGACCGCTTGGAACTACGATTCTCGCTCAAATTATATCTATATTTGGTATCAATTATTTATTTTAATGAAAGTAATATTTCAACATTAATTTGAAATGTTAATAGAAATTGGAATTTCTAAAGTAGCCGAAGGCGTCCTTGTTTTGTAAAATTGAATCTTACAAAATGTTAACAACCAGCTTTAAGTATAAAGTGTTGAATCCCGAGCAATAGCAAGTGTTTAACTGTTAATTGTTGTTTAAACTTATTAAAATTATAGGCCTGTTACGATTAGTAATAGAAATATTTTGATAAAATATTTATTTTTAAATACAACGTGCCTATAAAGTATAAATGTATAGTTTATGTTACAAATGAGATAATATCCACTTTCTATGAGTCGTTTATGCCCAACCTTAAAAATCAATTCAAAGAAATAAATAAATACATTTTCTATGTTTCCTGTATATTTTTTTTATGAATTACAGATTAAATTATGTATCCGCAAAGAGTAGAACATATTTCTTTTGAAAAATCTTTTATTTTGACCTTTACATTATGAGAAGAACAAAAATGTTATGACACCTACAGAGAGTTGAGTAAATGTATACAAAGTTTTGATTTGAAGGCTCAATAAAAACAAAATTACAGCAGTAAAATAGATAAAAACTTTTGCCATACTTCGAAATATTCAAATTCTTGATGTTAATAAACTAATGAAATGATATCTAAACAAAGTTGAAAATATATTCTTGGTAGGTTTCCAAGAAAATAAATAAGTTTTTTTTAACAAAATAATTTTCTAACATTCAAGTTTGTTTTTATGTCAATATTGTTTGTCTTTATGTAAGCTATGACAAACAATGAGATTAATTGTATTAATTATTTGAATAATGATAATGAAATAGAAGGCTACATATCACATTTTATTTGATCACGTTAAAGTGTTATTCGCTTCTCATTTTTAAAGACCAAAATACAAAATTTTAAATTATCTTTTATAAATTTTCAAAATTTTAGAATACAAATTGTATTTCGAATAAAAAGGAAAGAAATATTGAATAGAAAATCTAACACGGAGCGTGGGTCAATTGTTAAATAAGTTAAAAAGGAGAAGCTTTCTTTTCGGCCGGACATACTTTAAACATGTCTTTTTTAGCCTTTATAAAATGTGTTTGAACTTGTATTTCTATTATTAAATTCTTATAAAACATGCTTACAAAGACGTTTACTTTCGCAGCATATTTAAATTTTCTATAAACAGTAGCTATACTCAAAAGCACAAAATTTCAGTCGTAATTGACTTTGTAATAAATTACAGTAGCAGTCTATCACAGAATTTTCTCATGGGACATTTTTCGGTGCTATAAAAGAATTAAGCCCTTATAAAATAACTTTTGTTACTAATTTAAGCAGACATCATAAAATTCCGTTGTAATTAACACTAGTAACTTCTTTGTGTTCTAATTTGATTTTTTTTTGTATATTTTACAATTATGTTGAGCTAAAAGAACTTATCTGGAAATTAAACATTATAAGTAACTAGTAAACCTGGCGAACTCCGTTTCGCCACCAGAAGGCTTTTATATAACATTTCGTTTGGTGATTAAAAGATGAAGATTTTTTTGTTTTATATTTGAAATGGAAAATTTTTATTTCATTTCACAACAGTAATGAATTTATTTCGATTACAAAAATGAAGTGTTATTTAGTTGAACTTCTCTAAGTAAATGAAAGTGAATCCAAAGTAGATACCGAATCGAAGCGTTATACGTGTCCGCAAATTATCCGTTTAATTGAAGTGCTCCTTTGTAAACCACATTTTTTGTTTTTTGGTCTAACTTTAACACAAATAAAGCGTATGGTTTCCAAACTCGTGAACACGCAAAATATAACTGCCCATGTGAAAAACAATGATTTTCTAAATTTATCCCGCAAATACTTAATGGTTTTAAGAGTTCAAACTACAAACACATTACCTAAATATTTTTATTTTTATATACTAGATTTCTTACAAATATCTAATTGTCATCCATACGTCATTACATATTTGTCATTATACGTCAATTGCATAGCTGTCAATTGTGTTATTCCACGTTTTATAATGACTGACGTTTCATGTCAAGTCCCACGGGAATGCTGTCGAACGGGATAAAAAGTATCCTATTGCAATTTCCCAGTTCTAAACTACCTCCCTGCCAATTTTCAGCTAAATCGGTTCAGCCGTTCTTGGGTTATAAGTGGAGTCACTAACACGACTTTCTTTTATATATATAGACTAGTCGGGCAACTGGTTGGGCAACTGATCGTCCAACTGATCGTCCAACTGATCGTCCAACTGATCGACCGACTGATCGACCAACTGATCGTCCAACTGATCGTCCAATTGATCGACCACCTGATCGACCAACTGATCGACCAACTGATCGACCAACTGATCGTCCAACTGATCGTCCAACTGATCGTCCAACTGGTCGACCAACTGATCGTCCAACTGATCGTCCAACTGGTCGACCAACTGATCGTCCAACTGATCGACCAACTGATCGTCCAACTGATCGACCAACTGATCGTCCAACTGATCGACCAACTGGTCGACCAACTGATCGACCAACTGATCGTCCAACTGGTCGACCAACTGATCGTCCAACTGATCGTCCAACTCGCTTCTATCTAAAAACAAACAGGGCCTAACCCTCGCAGCGTCTACTCAGCGTTACACAATACAATATTTGAATCCAGTTCCGGCAATGAATCTTTAATATATGTAGGTACAAAAATATAACACGATTCTCATATAAGTTTCTTTAACACGAACGAGAAAAACTTGTACAAGAATATATGTACTAAGAATATAGAAACTCTTTGGATAAAAAATGTATTTACTGGCTGACCTTTGTGGATGCAACATCTACGCGTGACATTTGATTATTAAGAAAAAATGTTGGTTAAATGAAGCCATAATATAACATATACATATTACAAAATTAATATTTATTATTTATTTATATGAAATTGGTCAAGAATTTGCTGTTCTATGTACTTTAATCAAATGAACAGATGTTTTGAAGGTAATGCTTTTGGAGTTTGTAAATTTTTGTTGTACCTTTTTTGAATAAGTAGAAAAATATCATAGGCGTATATATATATATATAGTAAACCTGGCGAACTCCGTTTCGCCACCAGAAGGCTTTTATATAACATTTCGTTTGGTGATTAAAAGATGAAAAATTTTTTGTTTTATATTTGAAAAAGAAATTTTTTATTTCATTTCACAGCAGTAATGAATTCATTTCGATTACAAAAATGAAGTGATTTAGTTGAACTTCTCTAAGTAAATGAAAGTGAATCCAAAGTAGATACCGAATAGAAGCGTAATACGTGTCCGCAAATTATCCGTTTCATTGAAGTGCTCCTTTGTAAACCACATTTTTTGTTTTTTGGTCTAACTTTAACACAAATAAAGCGTATGGTTTCCAAACTCGTGAACACGCAAAATATAACTGCCCATGTGAAAAACAATGATTTTCTAAATTTATCCCGCAAATACTAAATGGTTTTAAGAGCTCAAACTACAAACGCAATACCTAAATATTTTTATTTTTATATAGTAGATTTCTTACAAATATCTAATTGTCATCCATACGTCATAACATATCTGTCATTATACGTTAATTGCATAGCTGTCAATTGTGTTATTCCACGTTTTATAATGACTGACGTTTCATGTCAAGTCCCACGGGAATGCTGTCGAACGGGATAAAAAGTATCCTATTGCAATTTCCTGGCTCTAAACTACCTCCCTGCCAATTTTCAGCTGAATCGGTTCAGCTGTTCTTGGGTTATAAGTGGAGTCACTAACACGACTTTCTTTTATATATATAGATATATATTTATTATTACTTTACCTTTTGTTAGGATGGGTTGTTGAAGTAAAGTTTATTTAAATTCGCCGACCCTAAGCCGTTTACAGTTCTCTGAAATGCTTTACTAACAAACGTCTATTAAGAGGAATATACGAGAATTTGAACTCACAGCACTGTATTTAAGTGAGTGAAGATACAAATATGACAAGGCCGCCGAGGAGTTGAAGCTTCTATAATGAAAATAAGCCTCCATTTATTGTAGTTTATGAAAAGGCTTACTGACTGGTATTTGAGGATTTCGTGCTACTTAATACAACGTTCAATGTGCTTTCCACAGTTAGCGATCTTTACACAAAGTAGTTGATAATGAAACCTTGACTGAGACAAAGTTAAATGTTTAATATAAATTTCAAAGAAACGTCATGTGCAACATACGAAAGTATTAAACTTACTTCAAGTTTGGATAATGTTTTAAAGTTTGTGCTTTCCGTGAAGATTGCACAAGCAAGCTAATTTCTCTCATCATTAAGTCTTTTTAGGAGTGAATGTACAATTACTGAATGAATATAATACATCTTGATATATATAATTCTTCTGTGAGTGTGTATGTCACTGAACTTCTCTCAAACGACTGGACCGATTTGGGATAATTTTTTTTGTGTGTGTTCAAGGGTATCTGGGAATCAGGGAATTTCTATTTAGATTCACAATTTTGTCCGCTGGATAATGTTTTTTTAATTATTTTTTAATTTATCAGTAGTTGTTGATACAAACGTTTTTTTTTTGGACATAAGATTTGACAACGAACTTAAATATGTCAATCATTCTGTCGCACTTAAAAACACGGAGCTTTATGGCTTTGATAGGTAAACTCCAAAAATATACATAAAAAAACGTAACAGATATTTCTTGATTATAGGGTGATACGAAGATCGCCGGGTCTTCTAGTATTCATATATGCACCTACATAACTATTTATGAATTTATCGGTACATACAAACAAAATTCACGATAATGGACAGCTAGACAGACTTATCAAAAGTCTTTTCATACTTAACATTATTATTGAATAAATTTACGTTTCTAATAAAAAAATATAGCGAATGTCCCATGTATTCGTAAATTATCAAGATTAAAACAAGTTAAAAGTAAATAAATTTTTCGTCTGTAATTAATTCGAAAAATAGTCTTAAGTTCTTTAATTGGTTCAGTATTCACACCTGTGACTTCTAGAGCAGCTCAGTTTCTTTGAATATAAATATATACCTTTCAGTGTTTCGTAATGGAGTCAATAAATTTATATATTTAAATGTGACCGTGAGGAAAAGTATTTCGAGAGAGCTCCCATTTACGATTCTAAGGTTTCTTACGATAAACCAAAGTAATGATTTCCTTCTTTTCATATACCTTTATATGAAAAATAAAGAAATCGACAAGTGAAAATGTAAATCTTCTACAACGTATAAAGATTTTACTTTGGAATATTCTGTAATGTAGTTTTAAGTATCCTTATATTTTGTGTACTCTATAGTCTTTGACATCTTTGTGTAGATCTTTATACAGAGTACAAACAAAGAGATTTATCTGTTCCACTTAAGTTAAACGGAACTAGACCATTGTTTTGTTTTATATGAAGCAGTTCCTGATCATTGTTGTATTTGAAGTGAAGAAATATTACAAAGTCAACGTCCATTATTCTGTATCATTCACCTTGTTTAATAATAATTATATGAAGAGTATAAATTGTAAGAATTTTGTTACTATTGTAACTTAAAATAACAATCATTTTTTTATATAGTAGATATCATTATATAAAGAAAAAACAAAATTGATTTTGTGACCTTATATAAAAATAGCGACTTCGTTGGTTAAAAATTAAAGTAGTGTGGTTGTTGAAAAGACAGTGTTATTTGTTTCATTGGAAGAAAATATCGTATCATAATTATATGAAAGTAGTTAAGTATTAAGAAAAACTGTTTTAAGCATTTTTCTAACTTTAATTGGTACTTAGTTAAAATTTACTTTTGAACTCTTCATAAGCACACTGAATGTTCTATATAAATTTTCAATTTAATAGATCATAATGTGAATAAAATAATAACGCTAACATCGTAACTTTAACAGAGTTATGTAAATGCTATTTAAGAGTGCGTTATAAAATTTTAAAATATGCGGGCAGTAATTAACTGCTTCCAGAATTAATTATGATATTATTAGGTTATGTAGTATAGATGATGAAAATTATTTTTTAAGCCAATAAAATACTTACGAGACAGTCTACGCTTATGAACGATGTTAATATAGATATTATAAAAAGTAATAAATAGTTTTGAAGATTTACATTATTTATAATACTTAAATAAGTCTTTCATGTTTTTCACAAGACCTATTCTATTATTGTATATCATAAAGTCACCATTATGTAATTAAAAATCAAATAATTGCTCGACGATACAGAATTTAGTCTCAGTTGAATAAAAGAAAATTTATGTTTTTATTTAAATGTACTTATTTTTCAGTATGTATGTACGTTTAAATGATAACAAAAGAAAAAATAATAGAAAATGCTTCATAATATGTAAAATGATATCTAAAGAATAAAGACAAATTTAAGGTATAAAGGGATTTAGTAAGATACCGTAAAGTAGTAGTTCGACAATCATGGTGAGACTTTCAACTTAGACGTTCTATTAAATAAATTCTTTCATGTAATCGTAGGCTGAGGGGTTTTGTTGTTGTTCTGTCGTAGTCATAACATGTTCAATAGAATAATGCCACTTAATTGTATCTAAACTCTTGCGAAGCGTTCTTAAAACACGGAACTATGTACTTAACCAATAGAATGAAATGTACAAGAATTTAGAAATTAGTAAGTAAGTTTCTATCATTGCCATAGATGTTTTTTTTATACAATGTTCAAAAATATGTATCTTTTATCTCTTTGTGTTATAACATTCCTAATAAACTTATTAAATGTTCTCTTCGAATACTGGATAGAACATAATATTATTAAAATTTGTAACTTGTATAAAATAGTGTATGTAATTACCCCGTTATAACATTTATTCGAGTTCTAAGATAGTATTACCGTTTAGATTAATGAGTTGTTTAACGTAACATTAGGTATTTATGGTCCATATAACAAAAAATACGACAGGAAAGAAACTAAATAGGGCATTCTGAGTTCTCTTTTACTGTGGATAGCAAAAGAGATGATAAAATAAAAATAAGGGAGATAAATATAAAAGAATTAATAATAATAAAAAAAAAAATAATATGTATTAATTATTGTATAATTTAGACAAACTTACTTAGTAAATAACTTAGAAATAATATAGTATGATATTTTTTTGAAGACAATTATTTAAACAAAGGAACATTATTCGATGATGAAATAATTAAGATACAGATGAGATGAAATATGTCTTCAGCCTATCAGAGCCCACTACTGATCAAATGCCTCTTGCTTACACGGAGAAGGTTTGAGCATTAATCACCACGCTTCTTCAAGACGAGTTGGTGTTTTCAAACTTATAACTATGAAATTATAAGTCCAGGTTTCCTCACGATGTTTTCCTTCACCATGAGATGAAACATATGAAACCTTTTTCGCTTGATATTTTCTCACAAAAATTTATGAAAGGAAACACGGATGTGGGCCTATTTATCTGTTACTAAATTACTTTATATGACTTGAATGTAATTGTTAATGTTTCATTAATTTACTTTGTTGCGAAAACAAAACTAGGTAGTAACAATACGGAAAGTAAATAACAGACAAATTAAACAATTGTGA